TATACAAAAGAACCCGAGCAGCACAAACAAGTTCGCCAACGGTTAGGTTGGCCACTATAGATTCTACAGCGGCCAACCGCTGGTCAACTTATTTGTGCTGCTCAGGAAGTTTCTACTTTATTGCAAAATAATCGCCAAGTATATATCTTAAGGATATTACCGTACAAGAAACTTTCAGTTGAAATTTGTGTGTGAAATAAGTGCGTTGCTTAAAAATTCAGTACAATGTTTTGGTGACGTTTTTCGAATTCGAAAGTATACGCATGCATACTTGCACGATATCGAACCGATACTTGAGTAATAGTGTGACCGAAGAACGTGTATCTCTCCGATGATAAACTTTAAACGTCAATTGTCTGACGTATCTTAGGCACGCCGTCAAATCCGTCAAATCATCAGTGACGCGCGAGCGTGGATAGTGCATTAACAGCCGCATAGAAGAGTGCAACTGAAGTACCTACGACAAAAAGATTTATTCAAAAATGTGGTCATTGACGACTCTGCTTGTGACAACTTTGGCATTCGGTAGCGCTATATCGAAGACAGTTAACTTACCGAGTAACGTATGTTGAATGCTATCTATTGTATAATTTTTTTATATTTTATATGTTCAATATATACATATATATATATACAAATCTACAATTTTGCGGTACGCTACTATTCGTTTCCTCTGAAATATATAATAGATTTTCCTTCATTTTCTATTTAATTAAAATTTTTAATTAATCTACACGGAGAAAATTTTATAGTAAATATTACTATGGTGTCGCACTAGCTGCGGACCATCGAGGAATTTTAAGTTAAATTACTATGTTTATGGTAAAAATTACGTTATTTAATCGTTTTTAAAACAATAATTATAGTATTTTACCTTGAAGTTCCTCGATGGTCCGCAGCTAGTGCGACACCATAGTAATATTTACTATAAAATTTTCTCCGTGTATAGATCAATGTTTAAAAGAATTCTTATATATTGAAGGTTTCCACATATTGTCTTATTAACAAATAAAAACATCTATTTGCATTACATTTTAATTTCCTGAAATTAAAAACATTGGGGCAACGATATTAACTAATTAAAATAATAATCAAATAACTTCATCTAAATTTGTTTGTATATAAATATACGGCACATAAATGTACAGATGTGCCAAAAGCGGATAAAACTGTAGCAAGAAAGCAGATAAATATAGTCTGTCAGTTGATACTGATTGCTTAACCGGAAATAACGGTGGCAACAGTTTTAGAAAAAGAGAAAGAGTTTTGAAATAGAGAAATTCTCTAACTTTTTTGAAAGATAAATAGGATTTTGCAGGTTGCTTTTTTATCCCAGGTTACTTTTTTAAATTAAGAACAAAATGTCAATCGGAATTCTTAAAATTGTCGATACCGTTTAGAAAGTAAAAATAATGTATTGAATAGGATACCACATTTGATTTAATAAAATAAAATACAACATTGGTTCATGCACAATTCGTACATGAAGTACGTTCGCATATAAATCATAAAATTTGAATGCAAGTCATAAAGATAAAGATTGATTCTGACCGATTGACAATTGTCCTCGACCTCGTATCACAGATATAGTCATCGCTGATTCAATGGAACTGAAATGTTACTTGAATTTAAATTCATTTTTTACATAGACATATAAATGAACGTGTATTTGTATTTAAAGCGTACTAAACCTTTATGATCTTTTCATGACCTTTTTAACTAAAAGGATTATTTGATTAAATTTTTTAATGAGGTTTAAAAATGTATTTAAATTATACACAAAATGGTATATTTTGATAAACAAAAGAAGATTTACATATGAAATTACGTACATACATCTATGTATTTATTCGTGTTCTCATTGCGAGAAGCGATAGAAAAATATTACAGAATGTCTGTTGCGTTACTTACATGTTTCTGTGAGAACGTCTTTATCTCTACGATTAACCTATCGGAGTCGGGATAATGATACCGTCTGGTCAAAGTTAGAAGATGAAGAAAGAGACTGATAATCAACTGGCCGTACAATAACCGACCTCAGATGATGACCTTTCAATTACAAATCCGCTAAAGCCAGCTCGAAAAAACATAACGAAAATGATATACATTTATGACACAAAGGACTGCATCAGTAACTTGAATGCCACATTTTATTCTACATAAATTATAAAAGTGCATGACATTAATTGAATCGTGAAATAAAAAATGTATAAAAATAAGCCCAAATTGTCTCTGAAGTATATAATACAAATATAGTAAAATATTGTGTAAAAATGGTTGGATTAGCGATATTCTAGAATATTAACTATTAATTGCATCGCTTTTTATAAAATTATTCTACTTATTGTTAGCAAGAATTTAGAACAAATGATTGCAGGATACGGAATGGCGATACGGTTTCGAAGTCGATTACGAGAACAATCAGTTTTTATTGGATGGAAAACCCTTCCGATATGTTTCCGGTAGTTTTCATTATTTTCGAGCGCCTAGACAATACTGGAGAGATCGTTTAAGGAAAATGCGAGCCGCGGGACTTAACGCTGTCTCCACGTAAGTTAAATCTCGTATTTTTGTAATTTACACGTTTTGTAATTTATATGATAATACAAGATAGTATTTACATTGTTGTGTCATGAATGTTAAGTACATCGATATTAATACGTAATAGATCTTTTAACTGTTTATGAAATTTAAAATAATGTCGCGAAATAATCAACGAATAATTAAATTTGTCTCTGTTCTCTCGCGATAAACAGTTATGTTGAATGGAGTCTTCACGAACCAGAACCAGGTCAATTTAATTGGGCCGGCGACGCAGATCTAGTAAATTTCTTAAATATTGCACAAGAAGAAGATTTGCTCGTGTTATTGCGACCGGGTCCTTATATTTGCGCGGAAAGAGACTTGGTAAATAAATATATACATTAATTGCTTAGTATAAAATTACTGGCGTAACTAGTTGTCTTTTGTCATCTGTTCTTTCATATCTGAGGCAAAACTTAAAAATTTGTCTCTTTACTTTTTTTTTTAATTATATATAGTAAAATTCAAAAAATATTCTATTATCTTAATAATCCTGACATACCTTTAGGGTGGTTTACCGTATTGGTTGCTTCGTGAAGTACCGAATATAAAGTTACGCACAAAAGATGCAGGTAAGCTATAATTCGTTTCACTGGATTATTATATAAAAACATTCTTCGGCCTTTGAAAAACGTTTGCGATTTTTTTATGTGGCAATAAATTTGTGAAGAAATAGAAAATTTACATATTATTGCTTTTATTATGATTTCGGGTATAATATATGCCGTTTTATAATATATGATATTTGTTAAATCAAATGTATTTTATTTCCGCACAAATTGCTCGATATAAAATTGAGATGTCAACCGATTACATTTCGCTACTTTTATGATAAGAGATAAGAATCTTTTTTTTAATTATTTAAATGAGATGCTTATATACAAGTATCAAAGATTACATCAATTTATATTATTTAAAAGAACGTCTTGACGATAAATCGAACCAAATCGTGGTGATGGTGGTCGTATCATCTTGGCGATTATAATGGCCAGTATAGAGTCGATTATTATTTCCATTGTTGTTTATTATTTGACTGGCGAAGTAAAACTGATTTATTTTGTAATAATCATTTTATTTTCCATAATAATTAATTCTTCCTCTTTTACCATTTGTCATATTTCAAATTGATATATTAATGATGCAAAATATATTAAAATATATTGATAAAATGATATTACTACAGCCAATTGTAGAATCCAATTTTATTACTTAAAAATTTATCTGTTTCCACAGATTTTGTGAGATATGCTACATTGTATCTAAATCAAGTGCTGGATAAAGTAGAACCACTTTTAAGGGGTAATGGGGGACCAGTAATTATGGTTCAGGTAACACCTATTTACGAGATTATTAAGAAATGTTATGATTATGTAACTTATGTAATATTATGTTTATCTCTTAAAATATTTATTGCGTTATCAAGATAAGTAACAATTAATATCGCTTCAGACATTATCGCTTTATGATGTTACCTTGTCATTGATGTTATATCACTCTGAGCTGATAACATCAATGACAAGACAAGAACAAGTCAATAACAATCGATAAACAACAATACAGTTGACAATTATTAAAGCAGATTTGAAGAAGTTGAAAAAAATTATCACAGATATGCTTTTTAATATGTTTATCTTCACGTGTCAATTACCAACTTTATTACTATTATTTTAATACTGTTGCCCTAAATTCAATCACAATAATAGATAGAAAACGAATACGGAAGTTACAATGCTTGCGACACGGAGTACACGGACATGTTAAAAGAAGTTTTTGTCAGAAAAATCGGCAATAAGGCTCTTCTGTATACAACCGACGGTAACTCCGCGTCTTTACTTCGATGCGGATTCGTACCTGGTGCATATGCCACCGTCGATTTTGGAACGGCCAGCAATGTGACTAATAGCTTTCAGATTATGCGCCTTTATCAGCCAAGAGTAAGCGATATTGTTTAAGAAATCACTAATTAATTAATTAAAATTAAAATGTTTGATCAAATTTGAAAATTGATGCGTAGGGCCCGTTGGTGAATTCTGAATTCTATCCAGGTTGGTTAACGCATTGGGGAGATATCTTCCAGAGAGTAAAAACAAAAGCTGTTACAAAAACGTTGAGGGAAATGCTTGCTGTAGGTGCTTCCGTTAACTTTTACATGTTTTATGGAGGTACAAACTTCGGTTTCACTTCTGGTTAGTAAACTTTTTATTAATTTCATGAATTGCAGCAAATAAAATTCTGATAAAAATAACATTTTATCGGTGCATATGATGAAATTATATCAGCAAATGTACTTTACTCAACGATTATTATTCCATCACAGGAGCTAATGGTGGGGTAAACGTGTACAGTCCACAATTGACTTCGTACGATTACGATGCTCCTTTGACCGAAGCCGGAGATCCGACAGATAAATACTTTGCTATAAGGGACGTTATCGGTCTCGTACGTAATTTTCTTTGTGATAATACACTATCACATTCTTTGTTTGTTATTACAAATTTCATTTAAAAAATTACTTTTTATTAGTTACCGGAAAACGCATAACAAATATCTATTTTATAAGTCGATTCACGTGCTCTTTGAAATTACAGTATTTGCCGTTGCCAAATATGTCTCTCCCAACTGTATCTCCGAAAGGCAATTATGGTCCAGTGTTATTGGAACCGGTACAGAAGTTGCTCGACAGTCAGTCTCCATTCGCGGTGATCCGGACGACTGGACACCTGCCTAAAACCTTCGAGGCTCTCTCGGTGAATCAAGGATTTGTTCTTTACGAAACGGAATTGCCGTCTCCCTTCTCAGACCCGGCCATCCTGCGAGCAACGACGAAGGACAGGGCGCTGGTTTACGTGGATGATCGACTGTGCGGCACTCTGAGTCGCATGGATAAAATATTTACTCTACCACTGGAGAACCCTTATGGTCGCCACTTGGGTCTACTGGTGGAGAATCAAGGTCGCTTGAATTTTGGCAATGACATTCACGAGTTTAAGGTATCGGAAAAGTGTTAAAATAGAATATAATACGCGAACAACCGTAGTAACAATTTTTATTAATTATTTATTACTTGTGCAAAATATAACAATTTGCGCTAATTTAACGAACGTGGACAAACGCGTGGACGTTTTAGCGTTGAACATTCCGCGATTATTTTTTTTCTTGCATCTCAGGGGATATCGAACGTGACTCTCAGCGGCACTAAGTTGACCACCTGGAATATGACGGGGTACACGTTTTCCGACGTATCCTCTCTCCGGAACATGACAACTATACACATTGAGAGTGGCACTCTGTACAACGGTCCGGTATTTCTGCGTGGACGATTCACGATCTCCGAGCAACCGTTAGACACGTTTCTGGATACCAATGGCTGGGGAAAAGGAGTAGCCTTTGTGAACGGTCACAATCTCGGGAGGTACTGGCCATTGGCAGGCCCACAAATAACCCTGTATGTTCCAGCGCCGTATCTTCGCACAGGCGAGAACGAGTTGATCATATTGGAATTGGAATATGTGTCGCAAACGAGAAAGATGAAGTTTCAAGCCGTACCGAATCTGGGATGAATCTAATTCAGGACTTATTTAATTAAGTGTGACTGTAGGAGTATTATTGGATCACGTACGCTTTTAATACAAAATAAATTTGTATTAATAAATTAATAAAACATATCATAAAATTGTATCCTTTATCTATTTATATAAATCCAATATATATTATAATATATAAATTTAATATATGCATGAATAATTATATTTGGGATATAATAAATCATTTTCACTAAAATTTTAAATATTAAATTAATATTAAAGTTTTTGCATCAACTGAAGTAAAAACAGATAATAATTTGTTATCGCACATGATAACAAATTTGAGTTAGAGTTAAATCTCCGATTCAACATGTGCGACGTATAGCGGCGCAAAAATGTATTTCTTCATTCCGCGCAATTTATCTTTAAACGATAAACACGACTGTGTTTAATATAGTACATTCAATATGTTTAATATATACATTCAATATGTTTAATATATACATTCAATATGTTTATTTTTTTTTTAAGCTGAAGCCTATAAGGTTTTAAAAAATTTTATTCTTTTTTGAAACATTTGTAGGTAAATGTTTTAAGAGATAATTAAGTTCTATAAAACGCGCGTAATTTCTTGCAAGTTAATTAATATATAAAATATAAATCGCTAAATTTAATATCAAGAAAACTGTTTTAATTATTTTATGCGTGTCCTTTTTTAAACCTTATATTTCTATATATCAATCACATATATTAAACTTTGATTATATTTGTATAAGTAAAACGTATGTGTATAGGATTTAATCTATAAATGTGGATATATCTTTCAAAATATTAGTATCTAATTGAAAAAGTTATTAGAGATGAAAATTTAACCTCTTGCCTTTTTAAACGATTTTTCACATCACTGCGCTCACCTATTTAATTTTTTATTTCTATGTTGGGATAATGGATAATGCACGTTAACGCTCGCTAGAGCGTCTTCCGTTCTGTCTATGTCATTTGATAGAATTTTCAATATATAGTTTAAAAAAAAAATGGAATAGTAATGTCATATAGAAACTTGAAAAAAATAAATTAAAATATTTTTTAGCACAAATTTGAATTGAAAAAGTTATTATAGTATATTTTAACATAACCGTTTATTATAACATATAAATGCGCGACAGTTGAATGTAGCGCTCATAGCAACCGCGAGTCACACTTCACACTCCCGTAACCTACGTCACTAGTCACACTCGTGTTTTTCAGTTTTGGTATGTAATCTGTGTCACTCGTTATTGTAAGTAAGATAAGCGGCAATTTCACCAACGTCGATTAACTGTAACCTTCGGTTAAACTCACTCTTCATCTCTTTCTAACTGCCCCTTTAGAAAAAAAACGAAGAGTGAGTTTAACCGAAGTAAGTTATACACTGGTTATAGTTAACCGAAACCGACGTTGGTGAAATTTGGCCTAAGAACCTAAAAGTTAATAACATATCTTGAAGCACTGATTTTTTTTTAATAAAAGTGTGACAGATATTTTAAACGATCATCTAGATTGTTTTTAATAGAATCATACATGTAAGTTATACATGTAAATTGTACACGATAAGTTTAAATATGTCGAGATATACAAAAGAACCCGAGCAGCACAAACAAGTTCGCCAACGGTTAGGTTGGCCACTATAGATTCTACAGCGGCCAACCGCTGGTCAACTTATTTGTGCTGCTCAGGAAGTTTCTACTTTATTGCAAAATAATCGCCAAGTATATATCTTAAGGATATTACCGTACAAGAAACTTTCAGTTGAAATTTGTGTGTGAAATAAGTGCGTTGCTTAAAAATTCAGTACAATGTTTTGGTGACGTTTTTCGAATTCGAAAGTATACGCATGCATACTTGCACGATATCGAACCGATACTTGAGTAATAGTGTGACCGAAGAACGTGTATCTCTCCGATGATAAACTTTAAACGTCAATTGTCTGACGTATCTTAGGCACGCCGTCAAATCCGTCAAATCATCAGTGACGCGCGAGCGTGGATAGTGCATTAACAGCCGCATAGAAGAGTGCAACTGAAGTACCTACGACAAAAAGATTTATTCAAAAATGTGGTCATTGACGACTCTGCTTGTGACAACTTTGGCATTCGGTAGCGCTATATCGAAGACAGTTAACTTACCGAGTAACGTATGTTGAATGCTATCTATTGTATAATTTTTTTATATTTTATATGTTCAATATATACATATATATATATACAAATCTACAATTTTGCGGTACGCTACTATTCGTTTCCTCTGAAATATATAATAGATTTTCCTTCATTTTCTATTTAATTAAAATTTTTAATTAATCTACACGGAGAAAATTTTATAGTAAATATTACTATGGTGTCGCACTAGCTGCGGACCATCGAGGAATTTTAAGTTAAATTACTATGTTTATGGTAAAAATTACGTTATTTAATCGTTTTTAAAACAATAATTATAGTATTTTACCTTGAAGTTCCTCGATGGTCCGCAGCTAGTGCGACACCATAGTAATATTTACTATAAAATTTTCTCCGTGTATAGATCAATGTTTAAAAGAATTCTTATATATTGAAGGTTTCCACATATTGTCTTATTAACAAATAAAAACATCTATTTGCATTACATTTTAATTTCCTGAAATTAAAAACATTGGGGCAACGATATTAACTAATTAAAATAATAATCAAATAACTTCATCTAAATTTGTTTGTATATAAATATACGGCACATAAATGTACAGATGTGCCAAAAGCGGATAAAACTGTAGCA